GGACCGCGATACAAAGTTGCCGCTGAAACTCGCACCGAATGAACGCCGCTTGCGGTCCTCGGGGGAGAACAGCCCACCGCGCGGGCTTCCCCTGGTGACGGGGGTGCCGCCGAATAGCTCGGCATTTGCAACATTATGGAATGCGCGCTCTCTCTCTCTTCCTTCCTCTCGCGCGCTCTCTAATCGGGGAAGGCGTGGAGAGTGGCATGTATCGGTGCCTTGGTGTTTGGGGTGCTGCCCCCCCTCCGTGCTGACACTTTTCCCTCCTCCGTCTTCTCCGCAAACGCCGCGTGAGCCTGCGTTGCTCAACTGGTTTGATTCAGGATCCCCAGAAGGAGGCAGCCAATTGATGTTTCTCTCATAAATGTTTCCATCTCTTTCTCCCTTTCTCTCTAAAATCAATAAAAACATATTTTAAAGAAATGAATCAGAGTCCTTCTTAAAAATATATAATCACTAAAATCTTTATAAGCTAATACGGATCGAGAAGTTAAATCTAGAGTAAAACCTTTTCAGTGTATTGTACAATGAATGGTATAGGAGAGACAGAAAAAATTGGTCCTGACATGTATGGAAGGAAACAGACAAAAATGGATATGAAAATGATCCCTTTCCTTTTGACATTTTAAAATACTCTTATATTGATTTTTCAAGGCTCCAGCATTCTTTACTATTACTTTACTGCACTAGATTGATTTGATCAGTAGCTTATTTATCAGGTTATTCATGAGCGGGCAGATCTAATTAAAATTACTGCACCATCATTGTTGAAATAAGTGGTTTATTTTGGAAATCAGATGCTAATTTGTTCTTAGTACGTCACCCACGAACATAACTGTGTTTTAGCCCGAGAGCAGGTGTGAGGGCTCCTGCGGGCGGTGCGCCTGCGGCTGTGGAGCTGGGGATGGAGACAGCCGTCTGGAGAGGTTCGGGAGCTTTTTTCAAAAGTGGGTTCTGAGAAGGGAACCTGCGGGCAACGGAGAAGCGAGAGTAAGACGTGTGTCCGTCAGAGTAAGTGGGTGTGCATTAGGTTAGATGGCTGTGCGTTCGAATAAGATGCATGTGGAGAGATCGGGGAGACCGTGATACAAAGTTGCCTCTGAAACCAGGACCGAATAAGCCGTATTTCCGGGCCTCAGAGGAGAACAGACCACCGGGAAGGGAAGGCGTCCCTTGTCCCTACTCCTGATTTTTTTAAAACCAAGTGCATGTGTTACCTATGCAAAAATTGGGTCCTTTAAGTTTAAAAATTAAAAGGATTGGCGTTCCGCCAGTGCTGTCATCCGCTCTATTAAATTGGGAGCGCTGGAACAGCCCTTCCCATCCGTCACTCCTCGGTTACCTAGCCGTGGCTTGGAAAGGAAGATTCTGTTTTGCTCTTTCCAAAATACAACCTGCAGAAGGCGAGGCAGGAACTTGGCAGCCTCCTGCGAGGGGATGGCTTCAGCGGCAGAGGTGCTTACGAAACAGTTAGCGGACGTTTGCATAATTATAGGCATCACCTGCCCAGAGCCTGGCCGGGAAGGTTGTGGTCAGTTTCTGCCACAACAAATCAGCCTTTCTGAGTGGGCTTCTGGGTGGAAGGTCATCTCTGCCAGCCCCACTGGCTGCTTTCTGTTCCGCTTTCAGCAGCGAGAACAAAAAGAACAGCTCTGGGCTGTTCACCCTTCCCCCGATGGTTACAACTCAGCGATGCGCTTTGAGTTGTCTGCGGTCGCTCCAGGCTTATAGCGTTTGACCGGGGGTCAGCGTGAAGCATCATAGTCGCGTGAGCTATTATATCGGGGCCGTAACTCACCGTTTCACAGTCCTTATTCATGCTGCACGCGGCCGCAGAGTTCCATCACCTTCGTTAACGGTGGAGTCTGTAAGCTGTGGCCAGATTTGCCGTGTGATGAAACGTGACTGTCCCTCCGCACTATGTCGGAAAAAGTCTCATGTGAGACTGTGACAACTGCCAGCTCCTGTCCTGTATTCTTCAGCCTCATATCTGAGAAAGCAGACAAGGCAGAAATAAGTTCAGTACTGAAAGCTGTGTCTTTCTCTTTAATTCATTGGGGTGACACCGTTTAACACAATTATATCGGTTTCAGATGTACAGTCTGTATAACGTCCTCTGTGTATTGTGTTGTATGTCCCCCACCCCAAGTCAAGTCTCCTTCCATCTCTCCTTACCCCCTTTTACTTTCCTTCCGCCCCCACCCCCTTCCCCTCTCCGGATCAGCATGCCCCTGTCTGTCTGTGAGTTTGTTGGGTGGGGGGGCAGGGGAAAGGGGGTTCTTGCTTTGCTTAATCCCTTCACCTTTTTCACCCAGCCCCACAACCTACTCTACTCTGACAGCTGCCCGTCTGTTCTCTGTTCCTGTGAGTCTGTTTCTACTTTGTTTGTTAACTCGTTTTGTTTGTTAGGTTTCATGTGAGTGAGGTCACATGGTGCTGGTCTTTCTCTGCCCGGCTTAGTTCACTCAGCATAAGGCCCTCTGGGTCCCTCCACGCTGTCGCAAAGGGGAAGAAGATTTCCTTCTTTATGGCCGAGTAATACTCCTTCTGTAACCGGACCACAGCTATTGTATCCACTCACCTACGGATGGGCAACTGGGCTGCCCCCAAATCTTGGCTGTTGTAGATAACGCTGCAGTGAACATGGGGGGCATAGATTCTCTCACATCAGTGTCTCGGGTATCTTCGGATGTATTCCCAGCGGTGGGATCGCTGGGTCATGAGGCAGCTCCATTTTGAATTTGCTGAGGAAACTCCGTGCTGCTTTCCACCATGGCTGCACCCGTCTGCATCCCGCCAGCAGGGCACAGGGCTCCCTCTCTCCACGTCCTCGCCAGCACTTGTCATTTGTTCATTTACTGATGATCGCCACTCCGACGGGACCTCACCGTGGGTTTAATTTTCATCTCTCTGATGATTCGTGGCGTTGAGCGTCTTTTCATGTCTCTTGGCATCTGTAGGTCCTCTTTGGAGAAGGGTCTATTCAGGCCCTTTGCCGTCTGTAATTGAGTTGTTTGGTTTTGTGGGGTGTGGTGTTGAGTTGTGTAAGTTCTACATTTTGGACATTAAACCTTCATCAGATGTGTCACTGGCGAATATGTTCTCCCATCAGTCTATTTTGAGTTTATTCTCGTGTCCAATTATCACAACAGCATCGATTGAATAGACCATCGTTACCCCATTGTGTGTTCTTGCCGCCTCTGTTGAATATTAATTCGAGCATGAAGGCGTGGCTTTACTTCTGGGCCCCTACTCTCCCCCTTGATCCGCTGATTTCATGCCAGTGCCGGGCTGTTTGATACCAGGTAGTGTGACGCCTCCAACTGCGCTCTTTTATCTCAGGATCGCTGTGTCTGTCCGGGGGCTCCTGTGGCTCCACGTTCGCTTTTGGAATATTTGTTCCAGTTCTGGGAAATGCGCCATTGGTGTCTGGACAGGGATTGCGCTGGATCTATAGGTCGCTGTGGGCCGTGTGGACATTGGAGGATGTCGAGTCTTCCTACCCGTGAACACAGTACATGCTCCCACGCAGTTTACCTTCTTCAGTTTCTTTTTGTTTTCTTTTTTTAAAAAATATATTTTATTGATTTTTTACAGAGAGGAAGGGAGAGGGATAGAGAGTTAGAAACATCGATGAGAGAGAAGCATCGCTCAGCTGCCTCCTGCACACCCCCCACTGGGGATGTGCCCGCAACCCAGGTACACGACCCCAACCGGAATCAAACCCGGGAACCCTTCAGCCCCAGGCCGACGCTCTATCCAGTGAGCCACACCGGCCAGGGCTTCAGTTTCTTTTTGTTTTTGTTCGGTTGGTTGGTTTGGTGTGTGTGTGTGTGTGCGCAAGTGTGTGTGTGCGCGCGCGTGTGTGCATGTGTGTGTGCATGTGTGTGTGCATGTGTGCGCGTATGTGTGTGCGTGTGTGTGCGCATGTGTGTGCGCGTGTGGTGGTGTGTGTGCATGTGTGTGTGTGCGCGCGCGTGTGTGTGTGTGTGTGTGTGTGTTGTTGTTGTTTGTGCTTTTTATGCACCTGTAAACGGGGTTGTTTTCTTAGTCTCCCTTTCTAATAGTTCTGTTTTGATCTATGAAAACACAGCTGAGCCGGCTGGCGTGGCTCAGTGGCTGAGTGTCGAGCTGGTCAGGGCTTATGCCCCAGTTACAGGTCCATCCCAATAGGGGGCGTGCCGGAGGCAGCCGATCAGTGATTCTCTCTCCTCATTGATGTTTCTCTCCCTCTCCCTCCCTCTCTCTGAAAATCGCTTAAAACATGTTTTTTAAACGTTAATCAATAAAAGGCTCTTCCAAACAGAAAGTAACTCATTGTTGTTGATTGAGCCTCAGAAACATTCACCACGGGGAGAAAGAAGGAGCTTCGTTTTCTCACACGCGAGCCTTTCTCGGCTCCATGCGACACAGCCATGGGCGCCTTGCGCTGGTTCTGGGAGGCTGCTGCCCCCTTCCTTCCGTCTTCGTTAGGAATGTTCCCTCACGTCGATCATCCTTGAATTTTTGCTGGCGTGCTCGGTGCAGAGCGAGCCATAAAGCCTGGGAGCTCCTGGGGAAGGGCTGCAGTGCCTACGGGAGTCATTAGGGTCAGCAAAACTTGTAAAAGAAAAAACAAGTATGTGTTCTTTGAACGCAGCGTAAATTAAAACATGCTTTCTTTCCGTGCCGTCTACTCTCAGGGCTCGGATACCCGAGCACATTGCCAGTTACCTTGCGCGTGGGTTGTCTTCAGTGTCGGGTAGTTCATCGGAACATGACACCTCCCCCTTAAGAACCCCGAGCCCAGCAAAGCACGGCCCGGGTCTGCACTGACACTCGCCACAGAAACTACCGCATTTGCACAAAGTCCTGGGCCAAGGCCCCTGTTGAAATATGTGCGGTGCTTTCACCACATGTATTTGTGCAAGAAAATCAAATGGGAAAAATCACTGGCCTGCGCAACAAATTGAAAGAAAAAAAATGAAAGGACTGTGAAGAGGAAACTTATCTTTAAACTTCTTGTGGGATCAAGATATTGTCCGAAACCGGTTTGGCTCAGTGGATAGAGCGTCGGCCTGCAGACTGAAAGGTCCCAGGTTCGATTCCGGTCAAGGGCATGTGCCTGGGTTGTGGGCACATCCCCAGTAGGAGATGTGCAGGAGGCAGCTGATCGATGTTTCTCTCTCATCGACGTTTCTAACTCTCTATCTCTCTCTCTCCCTCTCTGTAAAAGATCAATAAAATATATTTTTAAAAAAGATATTGACAGAGCTGTGTCCGTCAGCAGCAGATTCCCGCTGGCCAGTGTGGCTCAGTGGTTGAATGTAGACTTATGATGAACCAGGAGGTGGCGGTCCGATTCCTGGTCAGGACACATGCCCTGGTTTTGGGCTTTATCCCCAGTGTGGGGCGTGCAGGAGGCAGCTGATCAAAGATTCTCTCTCATCGTGGATGTTTCTACCTCTCTCTCCCTCTCCCTTCCTCTCTGAAATCAATAAAAATATATTTAAGAAAATGTTTTTATTTTTAAAAAAAGAAGTTTTTATTAGTTTCAGAGAGGAAGGGAGAGGGAGAGAGATAGAAACATCCATGATGAGAGAGAATCATGGATCGCTGCCTCCTGCACGCCCTACACTGGGGATCGAGCCCACAACCCGGGCATGTGCCCTGACCAGGAATCAAACGGTGACCTTCTGGTTCATAAGTCGATGCTCAAGCACAGAGCCACGCCAGCCGGGCTTAATAAAAAAAAAATTTAAATCGTGAGAGCAAATGTAAGAAACAGTGGTTTTCATTCCTCTTTCATCATCTGATCTCCCTCACAAACTGAGTGACATGTAACATAGGTCCGACGTTTTAACGCGTCTCCTCTGTCCTCCCTCCAGTGCTACTGATCACGGTGCTGGTGGTGGAGGGGATCGCCGTGGCCCAGAAGCCCCCAGGTAAGGTGCTCAGGGGCCCCTCCCCCATGCGGATGGTGGGGGGCTCACCTGGAAGGACTGCAGCTTGTGGGGACCCCTTCCATCCTCCCTCGGGGGTGTGCCCGTGACCTCGGGCTCCCATCTAGCCCTCAGCCTGGGTTCCACGGGCTGAGCCGCAGGCAGCCAGAGTCCATTGTCAGCGGCAAGCAGTGCCCGGAGACACCGGACACACGGCGTCCCCAGCAGCCTGGCTCGCCCCGCATCCGCCCGACCGTTCCATGGGGCTCGCACTTTATCGCCAGGCGGAAGTCAGCGTTCGTTCCCCCGTTAGACTCATTTCCGTCATCTCCCTCGAAGCCCCTGGGGCCCGGGGCCTGTGGGCGGTGCTGGTGGGCCGCGCTGCCTGGAAGGGCCAGGGTGTGGGTGCCGGTGGGCAGTGGGGAGGGAAGGGAGGCGCCCTCTCTGTCCCGGCTGCTCTGACCTCTGTTCCCGGCAGACGGACAGAACGTTGGGGTCAGGCACGTGGCTGGCACCCAGTGCGGCATCTGGGTTCGAACCAGCAATGGAGGCCACTTCGCCTCACCGAGCTACCCGGACCCGTACCCGCCCAACAAGGAGTGCATCTACGTTTTGGAAGGTATTTGCCCGATTTCTATCTTTTTATTCAGGGCCTTTTTCCTTTTCTTTTTTAATCCTCACCCGAGGATATTTTTCCATTGATTTTTTAGGGAGAGTGGATGAAAGAGGGAAAGACAGAGAGAAATATTGATGTGAGAGAGACACGTCGATTGGTTGCCTCCTGCACGCACCCTGACCAGGGGCCCTGGCTGGAGAGGAGCCTGCAACCGAGGTACATGGCCTTGAACAGAATCGAACCCGGGACCCTTCAGTCCACAGGCCGACGCTTTATCCACTGAGAAACACCGGCCAGAGCCTTTTTACTTTTCTGATAAAACTAAATCCATTGGCTAAAATGCCGTGTTTTAAAAATTTTGAGCCCTAACCAGTTTGGCTCAGTGGATAGAGTGTTGGCCTGTGGACTGGAAGGTCCCAGGTTCGATTCCGGTCAAGGGCATGGGGTACATCCCCAGGAGGGGGTGTGCAGGAGGCAGCTGATCGATGTTTCTAACTCTCTATCCCCTTCCCTTCCTCTCTATAAAAAATCAGTAAAATATGTCTTAAAAAG